CTTCGGGGGCCCCCAGGCGGGGCCAATGACGTCCAGAGCCGACGGTCGGGAGCCTCGCGCAGCGTGTCGCGGCGGCGGCCCCGGCAGCACGCCCTGCCCTGCTGACAGCCGGCAGCGTGTCGCTCTGCTCCGTGGGGACGGGAGGCCAGGAGGAGCTCGGAGCGTGGCTGCTGGGGGGCAGGAGCGTTCGCGTAGCGTGTCGCGCCGAAGCGTGGCGGGCCACGCTCGGTGAACTTGTTAGGGAAGCGAGCTCTATACACCGACGCTGTTTGCGGCCCCGCACCAGAATACACAGGGAAGCGGATCCTGGTGCATACGGGATCCTCGTGTATACATTTTCCGTTGTTTCCCCTGGAAAACGGGGAACCAGGTATACACCACACCACCCCAACTTCGTTCCCGACCCTGGAAAAATCCTAAGACTGAAAAACAGCCCGCCACTGGCAATGTATATGCTCCGGTTTCTTGCCTGACGCTAGGAGGCAACTACTGGGAGGTTTTCGTCGGGAAAACTAAAAAAGATGAAGCCCCATTGGGGGGCTGTTATGCCGCAGTGGGCCTCGGATTAAGCCAGATCAAGCCGGATGAAGCAGGATTCAGCCAGATTAAGCGGGGTTGAGCCGGATTAGCCCGGATTTCGGACCAGGGCAACGACAGAATTTGACCGCCCAGGAGTTGCATCCGAACTGACGGTAGATGAGTGGGAGCGATAGAGTTATGTTGCTCCCATCCTACTTAGGGACCGGATCCCAGAAATAATTTCGAGCACCCAGAAAAGTGTCAAAAGAGTATCGAAGCAGTGTCGAAACAGTGTCGGGCGAGTGTCTCCCAGGGCCCGACAGGTGAAACATCTTGAGTTTCGGTACTTTTTTGGGCGCTCGAAATTCTTCCTGGTGATCAAGGCTAAAGTAGGTTGGAACATCATAACGATGGGGGGAGATCGGCCCAGGGAAGGCGACGTCGAGCTCGACTCGGCCATGCGTTGCCGACGGGTCGGCGCTGGGCCCTCCGTGGCAGCCCAAGGCACGTCCCCGGGCAGGGCGGGCTATATCGGGCCCACGGCGGCCATATCCAGGGGCGCGCGAGGGCCGCTGCGGCAATTACCCCCCGAGCCTGATGGGCCTGTTCTCCACCACCACCACCATAAGTTGGAGGGGGAGGGGGTCCTCCTCCTCCTCCTCCTCCTCCTCCTCCTCCTCCTCTTCGTCATCCTCCTCCTCCTCCTCCTCCTCTTCGTCATCCTCCTCCTCCACCTCCTTCCCCCCTTCATCTTGTAGTTATGTTGCTCCATCGTACTACAGGACCACATCCCAGAAATAAGTTCGAGCACCCAGAAAAGTGTCGAATGAGTGTCGAAAGAGTGTCGAAACAGTGTCGAAAGAGTGTCTCCCAGGGCCCGACACGTGAAAACCCTCGAGTTATGGGGTGGTTTCTTGGTGCTCGAAATTCTTTCTGGTGATCGAGGCTAAAGTAGGTTAGAATATCATAACCCCTGAGCTGAGCAACCGTTCCTGACCGTAGGTGTCCGATGCTACCCCCCTCTCCTCCTCGATTCTGCGGTGCGCCGAAGCGGTGCGGTGACGGACCGTGCGGCGGCCTCGGAGAATCGCAGAGGCACGAGGAGGAGGAGCAGGAGGAGAAGGAGGAGGAGGAGGAGGAGGGAGGAGAGAGGAGGGAGGAGGGAGGAGGGAGGAAGGAGGAGGAGAAGGAAGGACGAGGAGGAGGAGGAGGAGGAGGAGGTGGAGGAGGAAGACCGGCGCTCCTTCGAATGTTTGGTCTCTGGGCCATCCCTCGGATCTCCAGAGCGGCCGCTCGGGACGACCCTGCCGCCCCCAGGACGCCCTCGGCGAGGTGCAGGCTGCTGGGACGCAGCCCGAGGCAGAGGCAGGAAAGCCCCCCAGGAATCGACCGGGGGACCGACTGCACAACTGCTGTGCCCCGAAACTGATACTTTTGCCCGTCGCACCTGCGAGAAGTACGCAGGACGCTCCGCAGACCTCGGAACACTCGACGCACTTCTCGTAGACTCGAGGGCCACAGCAAGCTTGGGGCAACGCAATTCTGCAGTCCATCCCCCAGTCGCAGGAATTGACGACAACACCCGGAAACCCCGACTCCCCACCGACTCCCCCTGCTCGGCGTGGTCACCGCGCCGACGGGGGGGGGGGGGGCGAGAGACTCCATGGGGCGCCGCGCCCGGGGGGGGGGCGCCTCGAGGGAGGGAACGGGGAGGAAAGGGAGGGGGGTGGCGGAGGAGGAGGGAGGGAGGAGGAGGGGAGGACGAGGAGGAGGAGGAGAGATAGAGGGGGTGGGAGGAGGAGGAGGAGGGGAGGAAGAGGTGGAGGAGGAGTAGGAGGAGGATGGTGGAGCAGAGAAGGCGGAGGTACGTGAGGAGGAGGAACGGGGAGGAGGAGGAGTGAGGGAGGAGGTGGAGGAGAGGAGGATAGGAGGAGGAGGTAGAAGCAAGAGAAGGGAGAGGCCGGGAGGAGGAGGAAACGGTGAGAAGGAGGAGGTAGGAGGAGGAGGAGGAGGAGGAGGAGAAGGAGCAGGGAGAGGAGGAGGAGGAGGGATAGGAGGAGCAGGGGAGGGGGAGCAGGAGGAGGAGGTGGAGCTGAGCAGGAGGAGCAGGAGGAGGAGGAGGAGGAGCAGGAGGAAGGCGTGGGGGGAGACAAGAAGAGGGACGCAGGGGGGCAGGACTCGGGGATCCTGGGTGGGCCTCGCGCGCGCGCCTACGAAGGGGGGCGCGAGGCCCAGGCAGAGAAACGAAGAGCCGTTCTTGGCGGCGGCGGCGGCGGCGGGACGACGGCGGCGACGACGACACGACGGACGACGGGACGCCCGCAGCGGCAAGACCGGCGGCGGCGACGGCGACGACAGCGGCTGCGGCTCGCGCAGGGCGGACGGGGGCAGGAGGGCGGGCGGGCGGGGGGAGGAGGGGGAGAGAGGAGGGGGAGAGGATGGGGGAGGAGGAGGAGGGGGGAGGGAGAGCAGGGGGAGATGAGGGGGAAGGGGGGAATAGCAGAGACGAGGAAAGAGGGAGGGCCGCGAAGAGTCTCGAGTGACCCTGGACCCTGCCTCTCCTTGGCATTCTGCGAGCCGGATCGATCTGTGAAGCGCCCGGGGCCCGAAACCGAGCGATGACGATCGGTAAAAACTCGGATCTGCGGGGAGGCAGGGATCGGGGGGGCGTCCAAGCGGGGAAGGGGCTGAGGTGGGGTCAGAGGAGAATCGCTCAAAACGCGTCGTGCAAGAAGGACATGTGAGTATCCAGCGGGGTTCGTTCCCTGACCACACCTAGGGATAAGCCCCCTCTACGAACCACCGAAAGCAGGGTGGGAACGATTCCCATGCGGTCCGCGTAAGACGAAGCCAAGACGAAGATGAATTCGGCCAAAGATCAATCGAGGATCTCTGAAATCCGGCTGGCTCTTGAGGATGTCTCTCGGGCGAAAGATCAATCGAGGATCTCTGAAATCCGGCTGGCTCTTGAGGATGTCTCTCGGGCGCCGCGGCCTTCTCCGAGCGTTCTGGAACGCTCTGAGAGCGTTCTGGAACGTTCTGAAAGGGATTTATCCTCGTCCTAGCCCCGTCCGACCCCTCGTGACGTGAGCTGCTGCCTCGATCGCGATGAAATGCCCCGACGCGGCAACGCCAGCGCGCCCTGTCGCTGAGCGACTCCCAGCTCGCGTTGCGCGACCTCGCGCGCAAGCAAACGCCTCGTGAAACAGCGCGATCCCCCTGGCCTGTGGGTCCGATGAGTAGTAGTAGGAGGAGGAGGAGGAGAAGGAGGATGAGGAGGAGGGAGAAGAAGGAGGAGGAGGAGGAGGAGGAGGAGGGAGAAGAAGGAGGAGGAGAAGGAGGAGGAGCAAGAGGAGGCGGAGGAGGAGGAGGAGGAGGAGCAGGAGGAGGAGGAGGAATGCGAGGACTGCGAGCATGAAAGACAGCGGAAGTCTAAAAACAAAACGGATTAATCCGACGACCCCGACTCAGAGCCCTGGTCCCCTCTGCCGTTGCTGACTCCGCGGGCAGCCTCCAAAAAGCGGAGGGACTGGGACACTACTCTGAGCTCCTGGGCCTGGCGAATCTCCTCCTCCGAGGGGGGGGGAGGCTCGAGGGAGGACGGAGCGGGGACCTCCACTTCCAACGATCCCACGCCTGGGGCGGCACACGCCCCGAAGCCTGCAGGGGAGGGGGCGGAGGTCTGACTGTAGCAAGCCCCTCCCTCCCCGCGGCGGTCCGGCAGCTCGGGCGTCAGGCCCGCGAGGCGGGCGATCATGGCGTCGCAAACGAATCGCGGCGGCCCCCCAGGGTGGGGGTATCGGCCGTTCTGAATTCTCGTGAGATTCTGATCCCCTTTGCAGCTGGGGGTGCAGCGGCCGACAAGCCACCTGGGGTCACAGGTGGCGGTTTTACCGCAGGCAGCACAGAACGTCAGGCCATAGCGCCCCCAGAACTGGAGGCGGTGGGAGGGGTGGAGGCTCTGGCCTCCAATCTCCTGAGGCCCCTTCAACGGAGAGATACTGTCATCCTCAGGCCTGGACTGGCACCTGGTGAGGCTGGTGAGGGCAGCCTACTTCATAGAAGCTCTCGTCTCAAATCGAGAGCAGCGCAAACACACGAATTTAGGGCCGACCTTCCGCCACTCGTGGGCAGACGATTTCAGCACACGGGCCAGGGCGGGCACGGGAGGGACCTCGGGACGCTCAGGACGGGCAGCGGTCCAGTGGTCAACTTGAACACAATCCTCAAAGGCCCTGCGCGCCCACAATCCTCAAAGGCCCTGCGCGCCCTCCTGCGGACCAAAGCAGCCTCTGCGTCCCTGCGGTCGGTCTCAGGGACAAAGCCGAGGGTGAATTCGCTCCAATTCAGTCGTGCCGCCCTACCAGCGAGCACATCAGCACACTCATTGCCGACAGCACGGTAAACTTCGCGCTCACTGGTACAATCCAACTCGTCAACCGAAACGTGGGACGGGACCCAATCCACAATTACCTCCGCGCCCCTCCCCCTGGCAGCCCTGAAGATCCTGGTCCAAAGGTCACCGTTCCGAAGCTGGTGCGCACTCTCGCCTTGGGACCAGATTCTAAGGATGGGGAGGTGGTCGGTGATATATCTTAATTTTCCTACGGTGCGCTCGAGGGCCTCGGCGAACGCTGTGAGCTCGGCTCGGGGAACAGTCTGGACTTTCCCAAGGACCGTAGTCGAAAACCCCGCACACGGAGGAGGAGGAGGAGGAGGAGGAGGAGGAGGAGGAGCAGGAGGAGGAGGAGGAGGAGGAGGA